GGATGTGAATTGGAGCCCATATGGGCTACAGCACGTCAGCCACTCAAGTCTTCTTTGGCTACTGCTTAAACCTTTGTGACAACTCCACCTTCCATATCAGGCTTTATATAAATCCATGTCACTCAGCAAAAACAGCAGAATCCTCCCAAGGCTGGTTTCATGAGACATTGGAAGCTCTTGGGCAGGCAGAGTCACTAAGAGGTCTGGAGAGCCACCACAGAGTCACTGAAGCCACTGGCACGTGAGTTGTGACCACAAAGCATGGTGAGGGCTCAGCAGGGTAAGCCTATAGGAATCACACAGCCTTTGCTTCTGTCATCACTGGCTCTTCACTCAAGGTCTTCATGGCTATGCCAGAGTTCTGTGCCCAGCAATGCCAGCACCACAGAGGAGGGGGCAGGGCTGTGCTTGTGGCTGCAAGTGCCATGGGCCATGAACCACCCCATCAGGTCAAAATGAAGACTTGTACCAATGTCCAAACCCTTCCATCCACTGATGGATGATTTATAATACATTCTGTCCACTGGGTCAATACTAGCTACCCAAGAAATGCTCACACTGATTGGCTTAAAGTTGACTCAGGCAAGGAGGTAACTTGTAAGAGAAACTGAGGCTGCCAGACCCTCCTTGTAGCCCTGCCTACTCTACCCAAATCCACTTTCTTGAAACCACTGGGACTGGCCAAGAAATAGCCAACATGGCTGCACAAATCATTGCTGCAATGATCCTCAGCTAATCATGAGAGTAATACAATAAAACGAACATTGATGACTCTTCAACTCCCAGAAGGTGCCTCATTCCATTGCATAAGACTTCCTGAAAAGGGCATGAAAATGGATGGTACTCAAACCTTACCCCAAGTCCCACCTTATTATGAATATTCAACTACACTTCACTCCAAACACCATTTCCTGGGTCTCCAGATCATATGAAGGGAAGACTCCCAAACTCACAGAGTGCAGCTCCCCATCAGATGTGCCCACACTCCTTCTCAAGTGTGTAACTCCAGTTTGACATGCAAATAACATTTTATCCCTCTGCTAACCTTCACCTATGTCCTCCTGCATCACAGATGAGTACCTGGACCCATCCCTCGATGACATCTTGATCCATCGACCCCAGGAGAAGCTAGTTTCTGTCCAGGGCTGAGAGGAGAGAGCTTGGGAGGTGAGCACAGCACTCTCCCCTCTGTGGCAGCACTCACTGGCCGTTTCCTCACAGTAGCAAGGTACAATAAGGCACTGTGTGAAATCAGCTCCTTGAGCAGCCAAGTGAGCTCAGCCACTTTCTTTCCCTTCCCACATCTTCCCTTCTCACTTACAAGAGAAAATACGGGGAGAAGGAATGGCTGAAGGAGAGGCTGTAGGTCACGTCCTATTTATGAATAATTTTTCTTGGAATGTGTTGTTTAAATCTTTGTGCAAATGTTTCTTGGCTTATAGTGATGGGGTTGACATCTCAATAAGCCTGTTGATGGTGAAAAATATTAAAATTCAACAATGCATTTGCTATGCCCAGCACACAGAACATCCTGGGTTAGCAACCTGGCACAATATGTACTGAATTTTTTCCCACTTGTGACTGTGGGGTTGACTGGGACCCTGAGATTCCACCATGTATCACCAGCCAAGGGTGAGAGCAAACTTGATGATTTCTGTTCTTTGAGCTACCCAGTTTTTGTTGAATGCATGTCACTGTCACACCATTGTAAAGTCAAAACCATCGTAGTTCAGGGCTCTGTGCAACAATGGAGCAAACACTGCACACCCACAGTCCTGCCTGAAGCATAGATTAACTTGAACTTGGGTCTCCTGGGGACCAGTCCTCCCCAGGAGGACCTACCTTCCTCCCACAGACTCATCATCAGTCATTGAATTTTGTGTCCCTCATTCTCTCTCTTGGTGTCTTTCATACCTCCCTCTGTAGTAGTCAATTCAGGCTGCCATGACAACAGAGCAGATACTGGGTGGCTCAATAACAATCTATAGCACTCATATATGATGGATGTGTTAGCTTGTAATTTACTTTTCCTTTACATTCTATGACATGCTGTAATTTGCTTTTCCTTTATATTCTATGGTTGTGAAGTGAGTAAGGTGGGATTCTACTGTAACTAGTCTTTTTCCCAACCATATGCTTATGAGACTCACCCACATTCGTGTTCCTACCTGCTTATCCCTTATGGTATTCGGCTCTCTAAATATTCCATAATGCAGCTGTCCATTCCATTCCTGCAGGTGATTTTGGGGGTTGTTTGCCATATTTAATAAAGAGTGCTGAGTCTGTGAACAAGTCTGTGACACTCTAGGGAGTGGGAATGTCATTGCTGGAATAAAGCCATCATTGAGCTTGCTGTTTTCCAAAGCCATTATAACCTTAGCCCCAGGATTTCCCTTCTCTGCAACCTTGTCCTTGCAATATGACTTTGGAACTGCCCCCATCATGGGACAGAGTCTACTGCTCCCTCCTTGGAGCCTGACTCTATCATGCGTTGCCCTTTAGCATACACTGGAAGCAGTAGCTTGCCAGTTCCTGGCCCCCGGTCACTGGTGATCTCCTGGAATACTACTGTTGCATATGAGAAAGCTCGGAGCTCACCTGCTGGTGGACAGGGCACTGTAGGCAGCAGAGAAGGGCACCCAAGCCAGGACTTGCATGTCTTGTTACTCTGGCAGACCACACAAAATATTGTGGCTTCAAGCAACACACATTGATTATTTTACAGTCCTGAAGTGCAGAAGTAAAAATCAAGCAAAAATCAAAGTGGGTGAGGGTTGGTTGGGTCTTGCCGCTGCATCATCTGGAAGATGCTGGCACTTGGGGGCTATTTCTGTCAAGTTTAACTGCAGAACCACCTGGGAAGTGCATGATGCCGGAGTGGGCCCAGGAGGGAAATAGTGGGCACATCCCTCTTGGGTTATCACTCCCACTGGAGAGCATGAAAACCAGGACTGGGGCAGACCTGGCTGGCCAGAACAGCACCCACCAGCATGGGCTGGATAGTGGGCCTGGTTGGGCTGAACTAGGCTTCAATACCCTTTGACATGTAGGAGAGCTGAATGGGATGTGGGACAGATTGGATAAGTCTGTGGTACATACGGGCAAGCACGGCAGCAGGGCAGGGAATGGGCCTTGTGGGGGTTATTGCAAGTCGCTCTAAGCTGCAGCTCCCACTGGTTTGAGTGAGGGCTGAGTGTATGCTGGGCAGAATCGGGCTTGGAATGGCAAGATTGGCAGCAATTCAGGACTGTTGAACTCTCAAAATCACTTGAGCAAGACCCTTGGAGCATGCCCCACATGGGGGACCTGGGATGGGTGGGAAACTGGGTGGGACTTTTCCTTTTATCTCCCTCTTTACCCCAGATACATAAAAAATAAAGTAATAATATGGAAACAGTGGTCTTACCCACTTTTTTGTAGCCCTTGACCCTTTGTGACCTAATCAAGTATGTAAAGATTGTCAAAATAAAGCAATTTTTAAAAAGAAGTAAAATTTGGGTCTTAAATAAGCTAACATCAAGGACAGAATTCATTTTCTTGTCATTTATAATGTCTGAGGCCACACAGATTCCGTGGCTGCTGGCCCCGTCACTTTCAAAGGCAACAGCTCAGTAACTTCCCACCTCTCACTGTCTCTGGCCTTGTCTCCATCATAGTCACATCTCCCTGCCCCTTCCTCCTTACACACACAGAATCTGCTTCCATATTTCCATTGTAGGGGTTCTTGAGATCACCCAGGGCCCACTAGAACTCTAGAATTCCCCTTCCTTTAAGGATATCTTAACTTTTTTTGTAAGAGAGAGAGAGAGAGAGAGAGAGAGAGAGAGAGAGAGAGAGAGAGAGGTATCCCATTTATTGGTTCACTCCTCAAATGCCCACCACATCCAGGATTGGATCAGGCCAAGAGCCAAAAGTTCCATCTGAGTCTCTCACATGGGTGGCACGGGCTTGAGTACCTGAACCATCATTCACTGCCTTCCCTGGAACACTAGCAGGAAGCTGGATTGGAAGAGCAGCAGCCAGGACTTAAAACCGCACTGTGATATGGGATGCCAGCACTGCGATCAGGGGCTTCACTCACTGTGCCACATCCTTGTGACATTGCTCATATCCTAAGATCTTTTGAGCATGGCAATGTTCATTTGGTGACTGCGCATTCCTAGGGCTGTGGTGTGATGCCACTGTCTTCATCGGTTCTTCCCACTCTCATCCCTGGTGCCTTGTTTCCCTGTGTGGTTCTGGGAGCTTTGACTCTCTGTGACAGAGCACTTCTTGCAGGTACATTTCCTTGGTAAATCTCTGGCATCTGATTCTGAAGTTCAGATTCTGCTGCAGAAACATTCCAAACAATGTGAGAATTTTTTTTTAACTGCTAAATATCTGAAGTTTGTTCCAGCCCTCCCCAATGTGTGGCTTCTACATGAAGTACCTTCAGAGAATTCTTGTCCTCTGCTCAGTAAGGAGGCAGGCAAGCTTCAGAGAGGGTCTGTTATCACACCCTTTATTCTGAGAGTGTCGCCTTCCCCCAGATCCCAGCTTTCTGCCGCTATCTCCCTGGCACTCCCTGATATTCATAGCTGCAGGTGTTCTCTCTCCTGACCCCAAACACATAATCTCATGGCTCTGGGATTTGGCAGAGCTGTATCCCTGCCTCCCAGTCTCCTACCTGCTCAGTCTGGCCTTTTGTGTGTTCCTCAGTAAGGATACTCTCTCAGTGGCCTTGGAAAGGAGCCATGGGGGTTCAGATCAAGACCTTGCCCCACTTAGATCAGATCCAGGTTGGATCTCCTTGGCTCGCACCTGTGTTCCAATGGAATGTCGGCATTACTAAGACAGAGCTTTCTCTACACATGAACTGTCCCAATGTCAGAAACCATCCATCCAGGTCACTGCGAATGATCTACAATGGGATTTGGTTGGATGCACAATCAGGCTGCAGAGGAGCCTGCTCTTTAACCTGGGACAGCCAGACTGGCCCCAGTACCTCCTGGGAATGGTACAGATGACCTTGGGCCACCTGGATGAGCAGCAGCCCTGGGGCATTCCCAGCATCTGGTGGTAGCAGAGCATATACAGATAGGGCAGCAAGGCACGAGGAAGCATTGTGAGCACCTTGCCGTTGGCAGCCAGCAAGGTCCTGGCCCCGAAGTGCTGGCGCTTGGTCAGCATGATATTCAGGGAGAACTTCAGTCCTGTACTAAGGTACAATGTGATCAGTACCATGTGGATGATTAGCCTCTCCTTGGCCTGGGAAAAGCCTTGCCTGCTGGGACCTGAAACCCTGGGCTCTAAGCAAATCCTCCAGAAACAGTGGGCAATGAGAGCTGTGCATAGGATGATACATAGACTGCAGACACGGGTGACAGCCACCAGGGCCTCCCCACCATGTTGGGCACCCAGGCTCAGCAGTAGGCAGTACAAAGCCCTTTGCTCCTGCCACCTGGTGTCCTGGCTAGGAGGAACTCCGGGAAGCAACAGGCCACCAGGCAGAGGCACACTATGGCCTTCCAGACAGCCCCATGGGACATGAAGGAGAGAAGATGCAAAGGGGAAGGTGAACTCCAGGTAAGTGTGAAGCACGGTAGCTGTGAAGGACAGCATGGCACTGGTATAGGTGGCAAAAACAGCATTAGTGAGAAGGCTATGATCTGCCTGGCCCAGATCCCAGCCACCAGGGGACTAGAGGACCTGTGCATGTGCAGGACAATGTAAGCCAGGTCTGAGAGCAGGATGCTAGCCAGTAGCATGCATTGAGGCTCACTCTGCAGCTGCTGGTTCCAAGCAGTGGTCAGCAGCAGGGTTTTAGGGCCAGTATGGCCACAGACAGCACAGATGTGGTCATCTCAAGGTCTCCGAGGTCCAGGAAAGTGTTGCCTACTGTGTGGATGGTGTACAACAAAGTATTCATGGCCTGGATTCAAACCAGCCAGATGCTACTGCCAGGGCTGCTGGGGCCAGCTCTCCAGCCACTCTTCCCAGCAGTAACCACAACCTTGCCAGCACTTGCTGGTTCTGAATCAGCTTCAGTGGGTGGGTTGGCAGGGAAGACCTGTGCTGCAAAAGTCCCGCCGGCAGCCCTACTTCACACACATGCCAGGTTGTTAGGAATGGCTGTTCAACAGAGACCAAAGCAACAAGGTGAAATTCAGGTCACACTTGGCTTCCTGCATTCACGTGCTTGTTGTTTCTCAAGGGGTTGTGTGCTACAGCTGCTGGGTGCTGTGCACACATGATGAACTGGGCCACAGTGGCCTTTTAAAAGGGTCCCCTACACCTGTCTGACTGTCTCCCAGCAGATGTGCAATGAGTATCCACACATGGGACTGAGTTTTGGACAACCCTGAAGGAAGGGAAGACGCAGGGAAGCAGGACTGTGAGACTGTGGTGAGGCTGTGAGCTGGCCACCCTGGGATCAGCTGCGACTCAGGAATTGGGGCCAAGCAGGAGGGAGCTAGTCACGCTGGACTCCCCTCCCCTAGCACGTAGGGTAGGCCTAGCTAAGGTGACTGTGTGTGGGGGAGGGCAGGGGAAAGAGAGAGACTCTATACAGAACTCCATTTGGGGTCACTCAGTCTCTGCTGATGTTGATTCGGGTGGGTGCCTGTGGGGTGGGGGCTTCCATCCCACTCAGGAGCAGGAGATTGGCACACACAGATTTCCCAGGAGCTAAGGGGGGAAGATCCGGGCATGGAAGAGAGGGGTGTGTGTCAGGCTCCCATGCAGCTTGCTCTGTGATGTGGATGGTGTGGAGCCCTGGTGTGCAGTCCGTGGCCACAGGGACAGTACAATGTGGGGCTGGGTCCCAGGTGAGCAGACTGCAACAAGCCCACCCCTCTCTTGTGCTCCACTTCCTTCTCTGTGAGATAGGAGTTCATTCACACTGATCTGGTGAGAACACTGCAGGGAGCAGACTAAGCCCAGCGCACAGCAGGAGGGAAATGTCAATCAGCTTGTGTCCTCCCTCCTGGCACCTGCTCTCAGGATCAGTTCTCTTGGGCAGCTAGTTCCCAGCCTGGAGGCAGTGGATCTGACACACCTACAGCTTCCCTTTGCACTAAACAATATCTTGAGGCAGAGATCCCAAGGAAGTGTTCCTGAGAAGAGGGTGTGAAGGAGGCATTGGGGTGAAAGGCCTTGCCTCAAGTCACATCCATGGCCTGCAGCACTTGGGCCATCAGGCTTGGAGCCTAGGCCTGCACGGATCACACAACTGCTGCCTGACTTCTCTGCCTTGGTAGATGGTGATGCCTCATAAGTGTGGTCTTTAGGGGAAATCAACTACCCCTCCTCTTTAACTGTATAATGTTGGTCCAGTGACTTGGTCCCTCTGGCCTGGGAAAAATGACCACATTGTGTTTTCATAGAAGATTTACTTGAACCTTTGTGCAGCCAAAAGGTTAGGCCTCAGTAACATGTAGGATAGAGGGTCACAGATCCACAGTGGGTCAATAGCTGGCTGAGCTTGGTTTGCAAACCATGCATCATTTGCTATCCTTGCATTGTTCAGCAAATTCAGTGCATGCTGCTTCTCTCGTATCTCAGGTCCTGGTGCCTTGATGACATTCTACTGAAACTCCTCTCCCCCTGCCCTGGATCTGTCCAGCTATACCCACCCTTGTTGCCCCTGCCTCATCTTGCCTCAGGCTTCCTGTGAAGATTGTCCCTCCCAAGGTTTCTCAACCAATAAGAAGGGGCATCTATTGAGGCAAGACTAAACGTTGTTGAGTGGCTGAGGGTGATGTCAGCTTCCACCAGCTGGCCACTGCCCCCTGGGAATGGAAATCAGTAAGAGCCTCACTTTCCTGCTGCTTTCTCACTTCTGAGTCCTGCCTTTGGTGGGTGGGGTGATCTTAAGTGGAATTATAGGGTTTGTGATGACAAGGGTCAGTTGTGGAGTTGCTGTTCCCCTTTTCTCTTTCCTACCTGTGCCCCCACACACTGGCTTTCTCTAAACCCCGGACCTGGGGCTCAGAGCCTGGAGTGGAGCCCAGGTGAGACTGAGCCATCACCTTCCTCGTCCATGCATGAGTACCATCCTCCCTTCAGAGCCGGCCAGAGGCTCCAGCTCCCAGGAGAGCCCTTCTTCCACTCAGCCTCCTCAGAGGCCTGTGAAAACATTTGTCTGAACCCCAACACTGTGCCCCAATGGTGGATGGTGGGGAAGTCACTGGGGTGCTGCCCGTGAAGGAAGCCACTAGAATCTCTCCTGCCTCAAGCATCTTTTCTGAGGTTGACCTTCCTGGGAAAAATACAAATTGGCACAGGTGTGGGATCTCAGGAGCCGGGCATGCCTGGGGAGTGGGCATTTGCCTGGGGCTCACAGAGCTGGGTGTTGTGTAGGCAGGGCAGGGCGGGGACAAGGGAGAAGACACTGCCCCTAACCCAACTGAGTCGCCATAGACATGCCCTACTTCTTCCCTACGCCCATCCTCAGAGACAGTCCTGAGGGTCCTGGGGCATCCCTGCACTCACCTCACTCCTAGGATGCTGGGCATAAACACACCCAGGGAGACCCCGACGCTGCTCTGTCTCTGCTCCTTGTCAAATCAAACAGGCCAACAGGATGGGCAGTTCTTTGTCTGGGTTCACCTCCTGATTTGTGAACTCCCCTTCCCACCTTGTTTCTGGTGGAGTTCCGGCCACAGGTGGAATTCAGATGGTTGTTTTCTGAATGCTGTTGGAGTATCGGTCACTGCAACACCACATCACTGTGTCTGTGTCCATCAGCCTCCAGGTGCCCCTCTGCCACAATTCTGTCCTCTCCTATTTGCTGGAATGTGCCCTCTCTGCTTCACACTGGCTAATGTTTCTCTATCTTCTGGGATCCTTTTTCTAATCTCTCATGCTGGTACAGGAGCCTAAGGACTTAGGTCATCCTCCATATCTTTTCCAGGCCACAAGAAGAAATCTGGACTGGAAGTGGAGCTGCTGGGGCATGAACCGGCACTCATATGGGATGCTGGTGCTATAGGCTTAGGCTTAAGCTGCTATGCCACTGCACCAGCCCTGATATGATACTTTTTATAGAGTTATACTTGAAATTCTAGGGATTTTGACAATGTTGACTTGTTAGACTTATAGGTTTTCAATCCATGTAAAAGGATGTTAATTTATAACGACACAGCAAAGTTTATGATGTAGACCAAATGGACCCAACAGATATTTTGGACCATTCTGTCCTACAGGTGCAGAATTCAAATTCATGTTCTCAGCAGTACACAGAACATTCTCCAGAGAGACAGTGTGGTAAGGCTACACAACAAGCCTCGGACAATTCAAAAATGAAATAAATCAAAATTGTGGTGCACACCTTCTCTGACCACAAAGGAACTGACCTGGAAATCAACAACAATAACAGGAACCTTTAGACATCACACAAAAACAGGGAACCTAAACAACATGCTCCTCCTGACTCACCACTTGGTCAATGAAGAAATCAAAAGGGAAATTTTAAATGTATTATTTACTTATCATTTATTTATATATATATTTTAAAGGATTTATTTATTTTCATTGCAAAGTTAGATTGTACAGAGAGAAGGAGAGACAGAGAAAGATGATCCATCTGCAGTTTCGCTCACCAAATGAACTCAACGGCTGGAGCTGAGCTGATCTGAAGCCAAGAGCCAAGGGCTTCTCCAGGTCCCCCACACAAGTGCAGGGTCCCAACACTTTAGGCCATCCTTGATTGCTTTTTCAGGCCACCATCAGGGAGCTGGAAGGGAAGTGGAGCAACTGGGACATAAGTGAGCACCCATATGGGCTCCTGGAACATGCAAAGCAAGGACTTTAGCCACAAGACTACTGCACTGAGCCCAAAAGGGAGACAATTGAAAACACGGGCACAATGAGCTAAAAATCTCTAAGATGCAGCAAAAGCAATATTAGAAAACAATAGGGAAGTTTATAGCTATAGGACCTTTTATCAAAAAAAAAAAAAAAGGATAGCAAATAAGCAACCAAACACTACAACCCAGGAAAGCAGAAGAGTAAGAACAAACCAAACTCAAAAACTAATAGAAGAAAGGGAAAAAAAAGACCAGAGCAAAAATAAATGAAAAAGGCAACAAAGAATGCACAGAAGGTCAAAGAGCTTGTATTCTGAAAACAGAAACAAAAATTAAAATATTAACAAGCAACAAATCTTTATCTAGGCTAATCAAGTAGATAAAAACCCAAGGAAATAAAATCAAAGATAAAAAAGGAGATGTGATACCACACAAACACACACACACACAAAAAAAATGTCTAGAATTTAATATAACACCTATAGGCCAAAAAAAAGTGGAAAGCCTAGCACAAACCACAGCATTTCTGAATCCACACAACCTTCCAAAATGCGATCATTAAGACACAGAAAACCTCAACAGAGGTTGAAATTAGAGATAAAAAGTCTCCAGATGGGACCTGATGACTTCATTGATGAACTCTACAAATCATTTCAAGAACTAACACTAGCTCTTCTCGAACAGGAGAGAGAGAGAAAGAGAGAGAGAGAGAGAGAAGAAATAACGAGAAGCACATAATATCAGGGCTAGCATTTCCACAGAGGCAAACCTAGACAAAGCATGAAGAACACTATAGCGCAATTATCCCAATGAACGCAGTAGCTGCAGCATCAAATCAAGTGGGCCTTACCCTGGGACTGGGAGGCTCTTCTACCTCCCCAAGTCGGTAAGCACAACACAGTACATCAACAGCCTGGAAGACAAACACTAACTGGTCATCTCAACAGATGCAGAAAAAGCATTCCATCAGATTCATCGCTCTTTCGTGATTTAAACAAAAAAACAACAAACTTTTTTTTTTTTCAAAACATGCTGTTCAAAAGGAACACACCTTAACACAACAGATCAACCAACAGACAAGGTGCGGATATTCGGAACACATCAGGAAGTTAAACTACAG